AGGAATATGTAAAACAAGAGTTGATATCAAGTGATGGTGCCTGCAAAGCAGCCTCTTCATCTTCTATTGGGTGCCTTGTGAGTTCGTGAACAAGACTGAAAGGTTTTGGGGGCATCTGACGCAGTGCTGAGTGTGTGGGTTTGGGTGGTGCAGCAGGCTATCACCTGAAATAGAGAGCTTGCCAGCGATGGGGATGCGAGTGTGATGGTTTCTCTTACAACTTGGTCGAGGCTCCAATTTGGGATGATCTTTTTGGTGCTCTTACTCCAAGAAAAGGATGCATTTTCCACTGAGCTGTACCTCAAAATGGGCTTGGTCCTGACAGCAATAGACGCTAACAGCTTTTAAAAATACGACTTTATATTGTTTCTTCAGGGAAGGTCTAGGGATACTTCTCTGTAGCATCTACCTGGATATTGTTATTTTTATTATCATCTTTTCCAGGATTCTGGAGACCTTTTAATTCCCCTCTGTATCTTGCAGCAGCTCATAATTCACAGACACAGTATTGTGTGTTGTGTATTTGCTGACATAGTCATTTTTTTAAGATAACTTGTTGATAAAGACAGGAGAGATGCTAGAGAGAAAACAATCTTGCCACATTCCCTAGTATTCATGAAGATGTAACATAAGAGAACGGTGCATCTGAAAGAAGGACCAAAGAAGAAAGCCCAACATTAATCATGATGCTATTTCAGTTTCAATTCACTGCTTAAGCCTGCAGTGGAAAGAGAAAGTTCAGACAGCAGTACTTTAAAGAACTGAAGAACTTAATTTGAAAACAAATGGAAAACCTGCCAGAAATGAAAGGTAGCTTGTACAGAAGTGCATTTAAAATTGACATAATGTATAAGTGTATATGAAATTAGGCATGTAACTGCACCTTACTAACAAATTTAATAAGTGTACCACAGCAAAGCAGAACCTTTGGCAAACAGGAAGGCTAGGGCTATCTGGATATACGTGAGGTTTTAATATAGACAGTGACCAGGGAAAGAGCTGAGCCCGGAAGGTTATTTGCCCTTTGGAAAACTTCACTGATGCTAATGCAGTTGCATCAGTGATGGCTTTGGCCCCCTTTCCCTCAATACTTAAGCAGGAGCGTGTGGGCGGATAATGAACGTTGGAAGAGACACGCAGGTTCTTGATTCTGCAATTCAGAGACTTTTCATACGGAGTATGTGACACACATTCCTTGTGCATAGCACAGAATGAAATTCTGCTTAAGTAAAAGGTTACTCAGTCTGTCATTATATTCAAAATAACCCAGGCTTTGAGCCTGATTCATGAAGCAAATGACAAATTGTTTTTCAATGGCAGTGCTGAAAATATCCTAGTATTATGCTGTAATAGACCCACCAAATTGCAAAAGGATGCAGCCATTTTAGGTAAAAATAGCATAATTTCTGATCGTGAAATGAGAGACATAAAGATTAATTATCTGTTCTGAGCCATTCATAAATGATTAGTGCAGCAATTATGGGCTTCCATAATAGAGCCCTCCTAGAGCAGTGCCATATTTCTTGCACTGCCAGGGAGACTGCTCAGATTTATTGTTATTGATAAAAGTAAATTCAAAGAACAGCTAAAAATCTGATAAAGGGAAAATCGCAAAGACAGTAAGAGGCACAAAGGTTTCCAAGGGTTAATAGAGGAGCACTATGCGCTCCCTCCATGTCCTGTCCCATAGCGGTCCTGAGTCCTGGTGGGTGAACTTCTGCAGACATCAGTCATCTGCTGACAAGCGTAGTGCCACCCTACGCCTTATTCTCATAGTGAACATTGGATTTGGGTGCGATTGGGACTTCTGTACTCGGTTGATTGTATGTTGGCATTATAGATTTTAATTGCAAGTTTTTAGCCTACCATAATAACAGCTATCAGAAAACAACACAGTATCTGCTTTGGCTTTGAAAATCCGTATTTTACCGTTTGGCATAAATTTTAGGCTAGTTTCCACACAGCTATATCAAATATGTAAAAGCTCTTTAGCCACAGCAAGTCCAGTTTGAGTTCTCCATAGTCCTGTATTCCTAGATAGTAATTTTGTTGACATGAAAATGACTTTTTCTGCTTTGTTGGATGTTTTCTGTGTACGCATGAGAGTTCTTCTCAAACACTGCATTTGCTCACTGACCAAAAAATAGCATTCAGAATACCAAATTATACAGTGGGATTGTTTTTGGCATATACCAGCTTGCATTTCAAGCAGTTTCTCTGAAAGGCTACATGCATTTTCCACACTTATCGGGGAATGGGCATGTAAGCTGAAAAGGAGAAGACAAATAGATTCCAGTAATACACACGGTCTTAAACTTTACCAATATTGACTAGTTAATACCTACTGTTTACATACTGAAAAGATTCCTGTTTAGTTTATAAACTTCTCTGAGCAAGAACATTAAGAGCTCTGCATTAATAATACCAATAAAAAAGGATTAAGAAAAATACAGCTTTTACTTAAATATCTTGTTTGTCTGCTATCTAAATCCTTGCATTGCTGACATATTTAGTTGCCTGCGTAAAAGTTAGACTGGAGTGTCTGTGGCCGAGTTATACATGAATGCTGAAGATAGGATTAAATCAGATACTGAGCCAGATGTGCTGGTAAAAGGTACTCTGTTCACAGTGGAAACTGCTGAGCTGCAGTACATTGTGAAAGCTACAAATTCGTGTAATGTGAGTTATCAAAAAAATACATTAGCAAACGTCTTCACTGTAATAGGTTCCACTTTGACATCTTTCCTTTCAGAGGTGCTTGGATTTTTTTGGTTTTGGGGGATTTATTTGCTTTCAGTGTAATACCTGGTTCACGCATGGATTCTCCAGCTGATGCTGGGTTTTGTTTAAACTGCGGCACTGAGTGGGGTCTTCATCGCTTCCCAGACTTGCTCACATGGAACTGGTTGAAGAAATGCTGCTGATATAAACGCAGTGCTGTGCTTCTGATGTTGCGGGTACTGTCATCAACTGAAGACCACAAACTTTAAACAGAATATAACATAAAGCTGCAACTGCAGCACTGATGCTTACCTGCGTCAGAATGATGGTACTGCTTTTGTAATGTCGTCTGAATTATTGTCAAAGTGAGCCTATTTTTCTTGCTATAGAGACTTGGGGATGATTCACTCTGTGTCTCAGATTTCGGGTATTCAAGTGAAGCCACCTGAATAAGTTGTAAGGTGAGTGCTGGAGTTTCTAGAAGTGAGGATGCAGCAGAGATACTGTTTGTTGAGCAAGTCATTCCAACAGAACGAGGCAATTTGCAGTTGTCTTAATGGATCTTATTTTGATTTGACCAATCACTTCCCCGGCCCTACTGCTAAGAAAATGTGAATGCTAAATACAATAACCGGTCCACTTCATTTTTTAATGGTTTTTTTTTTCCTATC